TGCGTAGGCCGATTTTGATGATTCTTACGTCAATCGATTCGTCTTAACCTTGCGAGTGTCACTAAAGACATGACAGCAATCAAAATTCACCACAGCGATAACCAGACGCCATATTGTCAAAATGAAAAAAATAAAAATCGATGAACTATGTCAAGAAGGGATATCGTTGAATAAGTATTTTAAAATCATCTTTAGGTTCCTATTATCATTTTTCATTTTAAATAATAGTTTAGGATATATAACGATTAAATCGTTATATTAACGAAGTCAATGAATCGTAACTAAAAAGTATAAAACAAAAAAACCCGACTGCGTAAAAACAAATTTTAAAAAATACATGACAAAATTAACTTAAATAAAAACTAAAAAGAAAAGAAACAAGCCCAGTAGTTTAGAATTCTGTTAAGTAATACAGAACAGAACGACTCACAGTCGGGGCCCATTCAAATTTTACCAATCAAATCTTCCCAAGGGGAACAACAAAAATAATATTATTTCTACACGGTTGATATTTTGATATTGTTTGTTTATGATCCAAGTTCATTAACCAAGACGCACTGAGGATTAGTGTCAATGACACTGCATTTTTACCTAAGTTCATTTGCGTTACAAATAAGTGCCGTGCAAATTATGCTAATTATAACCTGTTCTTTTGCGATTTATTCTTAAACCTTTTTTAAGTTCATAAACCTTAAGTCTTATCTAGATCATTCTGTTTTATCGGATTAATCAAGACACTCATATATAGTATGTAATATCAAGTAAAAATTGTATTTCTTGTTTATTAAGTAAAAATATCGGCTTAAATTATAATATATTCTCAAATGATTACTACTTCTCGACTATAAATATGAGTGTTATGTTGCATTTGATTACTTACTCTAATAGAAAATATTAATTCATCATTTGTTATTACCGTCAACCTATTTATGCCACTGCTGAGACACAACTTTACTATACCAGCGACCAACTAAAACGCACCTTAAAATATTCCACGGAAGATCATTGACCCATTATTTGGGTAAGATAAAATTACGATACAAGTTCTCTGGATTTTCCAAGATGTTACTTTTTTTTCCAATTCCTCGCTACGGAATATAAATTACAGATTTTTACGAGATACTGATGGCTAAAATTACATGTTGCGTGAGACTCATCAGCCAAATGTGTAAGCAATAAGATCTAAGTATATGTCTCAGTCAACTGGTTATAACATGTGTACAATTGGATGGCTAGCCCTTTATAAGTTGAATAGCGCAATTCAGTTGCACGGCTCGAGGGGAAGATCGCTAAATACAACGTTCTACAGTACGGCTGATCAAAAATCAACTACCCCCCCAAACAAAAACTCGGTAATGTGCTATTATGGGGTTTATGCTGTTATGGCATATTAGGCATCTGTGGACTGGAATACACCTTGGCAATTTTTTTCAGATTTGTCCTAATGATATTTACAAAGATATAATGATATACAATTTTATTGTTGGGAATTTTGAATAAAAAATATGACGTCAAAAACCCTGCTTTAGGTCTGTACAAAAAAGATATATATATTTTATTTTGGTAAGTTGCGTTTACCGGGTTATTGGCGTAAATAATTTTTACGAAGTTTTTGGCAAACGTCAATAAGGGGTTGTTGTTGAACGAATTTTAAATATACGTATTCCGTAATATATATTTACAATGTTATTTAAGTTTAGTGTTTTTTCATGATTATACGCTACATTTCAATATGGTAAATTTATTCTAAATTAGCACTCCATCAATAATTTCAAATCTATCATTGTATTTAATCAACCCAGATTTCGTGGCTTCTTTATCAGAAATATAGATAGTAAGCTCAGATTTATCTCAACCAGGTAATCAAAAGGAAAATCATTCAATTCCAAACGTAGGAAGTATATTAAGCAAACAAGGAGTTCTAGATGACACGTTAAAACCAGAAGGATCGTCAGAAATTAATAACAATAAATCATTTACTGATAGAACTCTAAACAATAGTAAAATTAAAGATTAGGAAATTAATGAGGAAAGTCCAAGCTTAATACGACAGATAAGTAGCAAAGAAGAAAAAATGAAACATTCAAACCAGAAGAACAGTCAGAAAGTAACACTGAATAAACACTGGCTCGTAGAACTTTAAACTATTCCTGGCATAATGAGGCAGTAGAAAGTAATCATGAGGATATGGTCGAGGTTGCTCATATTAATAAAGAAAATATTTAAAACATTTTTTTAATACTTTAGAAACTTTAGATTTTTTTTTATATGGGGTAGGGGGCAGACGCACAGACGGATCACCTGATGGTAAGTGATTACCGTCGCCCATGGACACCTGCAACACCAGAGGGGCTACAAGCGCGCTGCCGGCCTTTGAGGGACGAATATGCTCTATGCTTGAAAGTTTGAAGGTCGTATCGGTCCGGAAATACCGCTGGCGACAAACTGTTCTAGAGTTTGACTGTGCGAGGCAGGAAACTTCTATAAAAACGCACAGATATGGACTTCCAACCAAATGATGGGCGTGGATTTCTTGTCGCGTGGAACGATGGCGGAAAGTAGCGGCAGGTATGAGTCCGAACAATTCCTCGGAGCATTCCCCATAATAGATGCGATAGAAGATGCACAGTGAAGCAATATCTCTACGCAGGGCCATGATGTGGTTTATACAGCAATACAAGAAACTATGCATGTAGATGAGGGACTTCAAGATATGTGGGAGAGACATAATAATAGGTCTAATAAAATAAGTATAACAAAAGCCACTATTAAAGCACATTGAATTATTTCCTAAAGTATAGTCGCATTATACTAGGGCAATTTTAAACGGAGAATATCATTCAGAAAACTTCAATATTATCGTATTAACACTGAATGGTTTACACAACAAAATTACACAGATGCAGTAATGGCAACAAATCGACAATACGATACCATTTTTAACACTCGATATAATTACTAATTTTTCAAACAAAAAAAAAAGGCTAGTGACCCTTTCATACTCCATGTATGAACAATCAGAAGATACTATAACAGCCACTCCAGAGGAAAAACAAAAATTCCATTTAGAGAGAAAAGAAAAAATAAGAGCCTTAAAAAAAGGAGAGATAAAAAGAGCCGACAATGCTTGTGAGTCAGTTGCAATATTTGAATTTCAAAAAGTGTTGAGTGTGCCCCAATCAGAAGTTGGCATACTCCACTACAAGAGAAATATCACTGTTACAATTTTACCGTCTTTAATGCCGTTCGAAAAATAGGGTATTATTACGCATGGCACTACTAAAATGCTAAGAGCGGCAGTTGAGAAATGGGGAGTGCTTTGTTGTCTTTTTTTAAAACTAAATGTGAGGAAGGTATTATAAAATATTCATTATATTCGGGTGGATCTTGGGCAGAACAAAAATCGGTATATTTTTGCCCTTTATATATAGGCTGCCAAACTATTCGGAATTTCGTTAATCATTGTTTTTTTGAAAGTGAACACAGTAAAAACGAGGGAGATTCAATGCATGCACGCATAGAAATAAATTAAAAAATTAAGTTTTTTATACCCCTGACCAAATTTTTAGTATTACTTAAATTCAAAGATTACTGGTGAAAACTACTGTGTCAAAGAATAAGAACAATTCCAAATTTACGATTAAAACCACTTGTAGAAGACAAGTATTGGCGGTGCGACAAAGTTAGAAATGTGATTTACTGGACTGGCGTCATGGAGGTCAATGTTGTGGATTCACAACCAAATAAGTTATTTTTCAAGTATAATTTTGAAGACCCTTATTCAGAACTTGATTTAAACTACACTCATTCAACCTCAGCTAGACGACAACGGCGAAAGCATACCAGCTTCCCCTCGAGTACAGGCTTAGCTGTGTACTTGGATAATGTGCAGTTGCAACGTGCATACCAACAACCGATACCTTTAAGTAAAGCTTTTGCACACTGACCTTTTGAGTTTGTATAAAACTGAAGCTATTCCTCAGAGTAACTATGCATTCTACCAATCTTTGTCCTGTTCAGAAGCTGAGAACGAAAATATATCTAAAGATGAATAAATTTTAATTTTATATGATTAATAGTTGATCTCAGTATTTATTTTTTGGATTATATTCATCAATAAATGTTTATGTTAAATTGAGGGTCAAATTTCATTCTGTAGTTAATTAAATATCACCTAAATTTGTATATTTTTCGTTTATATCTTCTAAAATTACACTTAAGAAGAAAAATTGTATTGAGTGGTAACAAAAACACTATTGTTCGAAATTTCCTAGCAGTAATCATGTTATTTATCAATACCGTTTACCACAATACAAAATATTACCACAATAACTCCGTAAAAACATATTATGCACCATCCCTTCAACAAAAAATAACGCCGTAGAAGTCCATAATGAAATGTTACGAAATATTTTATTTTACAAATTTACTGCAATAACCCCGTAATCATTATAACTGTAATATTTAACGTATAAAATTTTAGGTTTTATGATTTTTCACAAATAACTAGGTTTTGAATAAATGAGTATTCATATCAATAGCACAGTTACATTACGCAAAAAATTAGCTTTCATTAGATACATCAGTGACTCCAATAGACCCATTCGTTAAAAAGATATTCGTTAAAATCAGTAAATCTTTTTTCCTGTAAAATTTTCATTTTTCGATTACCGAGTTGTTGCTTGGGGGCATCGAACTGGTTGTACACGGGAAATGTCAATTATATTATTATTAACTTGAAAAAAAAAACAGTGTTATTAATGCATAGTATAGGATTATCTATATACCAAATTTAAAAAGAAATAACAAAAACATTCATACATTTCCGATTAAATTATGAGTATTTATGGTACTAAATACAAGCTTTTTGGCTTTAAACCTCACCATAGAGAAATGTTTAATATTGCATTTCACATTGCATCAGACATTCAAAGATCAAACTTCAAGCTTCAAATATCAACATCAAACAAAGAATATGACATCAAATACCAACCCGATATCTCTACACACAAAGTCTATATAAATCAATTCCAAATTACCGTTGCTGATACTTATTTAAAATAAGAGTAATAATCATATAAATGGCAAGAGTTACAAGAATAGCCCTCGATTTAGCATTAGGTGCGTAATGAAGAAACATATATTTACGGATAGATAAGCATACGTAGCTTAGATTATATTCTAAAATATCTAATTTAATTTGTTTCTTTATTTTCAAAATATTTACAATTTGAATTAATTAATTTGAGCAGGAGTTTTGGGTTACATCATTTTGCACAATAAATGGAAACTGTGTAAAACAAAACAAAGTGGATATGTTATGCTTTAGAGAATTCAATAACATTTGTTCACTTTGTAATTCATTAATAAATCCACGTTTGTTTTGTTTTCAGTTTCCGTGGAAAAGCTCCGACCTGCTGTTGGCAAACTTTGGAGTGCAACTAAATCAGTAGTCGTGAAAACATCGGCAAAACCACTCGTTTGCAATGTCGTTGTTGATAAACTAGAAATTGCGGTAGATAAATTTGGAGGCCTAATTGAGTCGGCTATAACGACTCTTCGAAACAAACAGTTACCTAGAGAAGAAAAGTATCTAGAAAAGGAATTGGATAAAGTAAGGCAAAGGATGTCCTCAGGGGATGGCAGAATCGAACACAGAAAACGATGTTGAATTGTAAAAAAAGTATCAATAAAAAATAATGCAATACTGATTTATTTTTTATTTTTTTTTAGCAACGAGTAGGTCATTAAGACCGATATTAGGAACTGCATGGCAATATGCAAAAGTCGAAATGGTACCGCCCACGACGCTCGGCTTTTTTAATGGAGCCCCAGGAAAAAAATTAGAAGCTACCGTAACGAAATCTGTGGATGGTTTTATCTCTGGCCTAGACACAAAAATAAAAGAACTTGACGCCGCAGAATTGAAAGAAAAGCAAGAAAAGGAAGCTGCTATTATAGCAGCACAGGAAAAAGCTAAGGCTCAAGCTAAAGCTAAAGAACTTGAGAGGAAAAAAGAGGAGGAAGAAAAACGTAAAGTAGCTGAAAAAGAAGCCAAGGCCAAAGCTGAAGCTAAGGCAGCGGAAGAAGCCAAAAAGGCTGAGAAATCAAAAGATCCACCAAAACCAGCTAAAAAGGCTGCTCCAAAGAAAAAGCCACCTGCGAAAAAATGATTTTCGTCTTTTGTTATATCTTGTGATACTGTTTCGAATATTATGTGTTTTAAACTAACTCGTATTAAAGTAGTAAAAATAATGTGTCATTGAATATAGTAAAAGCTGCAGTCTAATTTATGCAACAAACAAAATTTTTTTATACTCGTAAAGTTTAAAATAAACCGATTATCAGGTTCCTGTTCAAAAATAATTTATATATCTTCGCGCCGTAACCCGGAAAGGTAGTAAGAAAAGGAACGCCGGAAGGCGATCGCATCCCATACCCCATGAATGTTTTTGGTGATAGTGGTACGTCCTAATTAACTATTGCGAATGTATTTTTAAATACTTTTACATATGTGACTGACCAAATATTAAATAATTACTACTATTCCAACATTATAGTCCAGTCACATTAACACAAAAAAAAGGAATACAGAATAAGAGCTATTAAGCTAGAAACTTTAACCATCAATTTATTCAATGCTTTAGTACATGTTCACTTCGGCATTCTACAACATGTTGTCTTGAAATCTAAAGATTTGCTATTTAAAATCGATGTCGAAATCTGTTATTATTCAAAGGTTGAAATGATAAGTACTCAAAATCACCTCAAAAGATCAAAGTCTCTTATAATCTCAAAATAAATCCTCCTTGTCTAAAAAATTATCAAACTTAGAAAAGGTTACATCGAGAATTTAAATTGTCAAAATTGACAAAGTTTACCTATCTTTGCGTATTTATAGAGAAAAATACGTACAACAAAATGCCCAGTGGACTTAAAAATCTGAAGATTATAAGAATGTTGCTACGTAAGTTAAAATATTATTCTTAGCTTTTTAAATTACTGATAATCCAATAAAGTATGTAAAACAAAAAACTTTCACAGAAGGTAGCTACAACAATACATCAGTAATCTTTATGATTTATGCTTCATTGATGATATTCATGATATTTTTAAAGATATAAAATTGACGGAGACCAATTTTACATTCATTTACGTACCTTATGAAAAGTTTCCGTTGAAAACACACAGTTGTCGCCTATTTTTTATTTATTTAGTCTTTATTGCCTATATACCTATAATATGTACAACAAATATAATATGTAAAAACAATAAAGGCGGTCAAACCGGTAACTTAAATAGGTAAATGTCTGATGATTTTAAAATATTGAATTCATTTAATAGGTCCTCGATCGACTTTGGCACCAGAAATATCTGAAGTTTTTCAGCCTACCTTAAGCAGAAAAAAGGAAATGTTAATAGAACTAATTAAAGGTAACAAAAAACATATTGTTAAAGATTTGATCGTTACTTTAAAGTTATTCAAGAACTTATATAAATTTTACAGAAAAAATTGAACTTACGCGAAAATCAAAAATCGCGAAGAAGCTTCAAACTGCTAAAGGTTTTTACACTTTAGAAATGGCACCTCCTTCAAGTCAAAATGAAATGCAAGTACGTATCTAGATAATTCATAATATCGATAAAAATGTCAAGCGAATAATTAAATTATTCACATGCTAATTTGTAGATTAATCACCTAGATAATAAAGGACTGCCTTACATGACGGGTGTCGCATTGAATTCTCTTTTGGGTAAAGACAGGGATTCAATCAGCCCATGACTAGATGTGCTTTATTCCAAAGATAAATGCTCTATTTACTTAATTGGATTTCATGAGATTTCATTATACTTCATTGGACAATTTTATTTCGCAACTGAAGTGAAAAGTAGAATGTAACATACGGCGCTAGAAACTTATCATTTTAACTGTTTCCATTTACTTCCTCTCTTATGTCGGGAATAAAGCTCGCATTACCATATGCGGTGACCGCATGGGTCGTTTTTTGCCCTTATATTAGGTCCTTACTATGAAATTATATGTTTGGTATGGGAGAAACAAAAAGTGGAATATTTTTTAATATAATATATTTATTTAATTAAAGTATAAATCATTATTATCTATGCACTTTTGCCATCACATAGGTAGTTTATTGATCCCCTTACTAAAAAAACCATTCGGACGGGAATCAATAAAATCTTTGAAGGCGATTTGCATTACCCCATCGGAGTTGATTTTTGTCCCTTGTAAGATCCAAATTTCGAAAAAAAAAAGATAATCTATTGGAGAAAGCTCCGGGAAGTACGGTGGATGTCTTAGACATTCCAAGCTCTTCTTATTTGGTAGCCGTCTGTTGTGCAGTGTGTGGTCTAGCGTAGTCGTGAAGTAGCAGTGGCGTAGAGCGATTGACCAGCTTCGGTTGTTTAACAGCTAGTTTTTGTAATGAACGACACCGGTCAATTTTCGCTTTGGGCAGGATTTCGCTATCATGCCAGGGTCCAGCCATTGCGATGAGCGCTTCCGATTATCGTAGAGAATCCACTTTTCATCACAAGTTCGATTCGATTCGATTTAAAAACCCTTAATTATTGTGCCGGTTAAGTAATGTAACGCAGCAGTCGAAGCGCGTTTGCCGGTTTGCTTTACTCAATTCGTGAGGTACTCACCTTTCAAGCTTTTAAATCTTTCCAATTTGCTTCAAGTGGATTAAAACAGTTTTATCACTAACACCGCAGCCTGCAGCTACCTCGGACGTGGTTTGCGATGTTTCCACTTCCACAATAGCTTCAATTCTTCATTATTAACTTACGTATCCGGCCGTCTACGAGGCTTGTTCTGCAGGTCGAAATTTATGTAAATGGCTGTATAAATTTGAATTTGGAATTCCCAACCAAGGAGGAGAGATTTATGATTAAAGTGGCCAGTACGACAAAACGCCAATTTCATATGTCAGGACCTAATATTATAATCTGGCCCCTTTTATAGTAATATCGTTATAAAACAGTTTTAGAGACTTTAAACTTCCTTTTTCAGAGACTGCAATCTGATTTGAAGCTAATGATGGATTTTTTCAAAAGTGGATGTTTTAAACATTTAACAGTACGACAAGCTTGGTTGCTTATTTTGGTTGGAACTGAAGTCGGTCTGTGGTTCTTTTTAGGTGAAACTATTGGCAAAATGCACATCGTCGGATATAAAGTGTAATAGTTGTGGTTTATTAAATACTGTAATTACTTTTTTTTAATTTTGTTTTTAACGTAAAAATAAAGAAATTAAATATTATTGAATTGAATAAAATGTATCAGTACAAAATCTTCATTATTTTCACCATCTACTACGTATATATATAAATCATGTACCAACATTTTGCAGACATTTTTAAATAGAAGTTTTTTTTTTCATTTTGTTTTTCGTGTACGTTTGTTATTTTTACCAGGGATATTATTTCATGTTTTTATTTCATCACTGTACAATGGACCGGCAAAGGAGTCATAGGTACAGAAAATTTGAGCCTCCATACCTACCAAATATATTTTGATACTCGTTTATTTATTTAAAAGTAGCTATTGTATTCCTTATGAGCTAAATTCGGTATAGGTAACGTACCGTTGACGTTGTTGACGAGAATAACACTTTTATTACACGTTTGAGAGCGAGCAGGGGCCTAATTTTAAAATTCATAGTAATCCCCTTCAAAGATATAGCGGTTCTGATAGATATTTATGTAAAAATCTGACTACGGCTAAATCACGCTCTAAAAAGTTTGAAACGAGATTTTTATTTTATAGCAATAGCTATATTATAATACCGATAACCAAAGGACGGCGTAGTCGTCTTAACAAAACAAACTAATAACCCAGGTTCTATCAAATGACTGACTTTTAGCCCTCATTAAAAGCCCCACCTCTTGAACTAGCGACATTGTATGGCTTGCACTGTCAAAAAGTTTTTAGTTCAAAAGTAGAGCCAAGCTTTTGTCTCTACATACCCTAACTCTACAAATTGTAATGGAAGGTCAATCGCGCTTCAACTACTATGTCGTTATGATTTGTGAAAAACACATTGTACAATAATATTGGAATTAAGATGGAGTACAACATGGCTACAGGTGGGATTACCATGATATGTCAATTTAATTGATTTTGAATTCTACATTTATATATTATATTTACATTTATATACATATTATACATATTATATTAAGTTTAAAATCAAGTGGAGTAGGACAGTTCTGTATAAACTGACGTGCCTGTACTATACAATAGCAAAATGCAAGTAGTTGAGATTCTAATAATACGTAAAAATAAGTAATGAGCAGTACAGCCTTACATCTACCAATATGAAAATGGTCCTTTTCAAGATTTGTTATTTTTAAACTCTTTTAGCGATTTCTATTTAATGGATGATACCTTAAATCAGATGTTCCCAAAATTGACTCAGACTCATGTAACAAAAGTAGGCCGTCTCAATTTTTTCTCGTGACATAGTTTGGGAAATATGAACCTACTTACTTTTGAGTAGCTCACAGTAAATTTATCCCTTTCAAAACTAATAGGTAAGTCTTATTAAAATAGGCATAAATACTTTTTAAGTTCTTTGTTTAACCCGGAGAATTGTTGACTTGCAACAGCGGGGGTAATATAATAGTTTAGCTAGTGAAAAATAAATCACGAAAACCAAAATTTACATTTTACTATACATAGAGTTTCTGTTTTTGAGTCTTAAAATCGCACAATTATCTCATTATCTTAAAATTAAAAATCGTGATTTCTTGTCTGCATGTCACGTGACTTGAATGATGACCTGCTATCACGTGACGTTACTGTGGCGACAGCTATCGGAGTTGTTATAAAAATATGCATTATAAATCAAATTCCTGGATAGCGCTGTTCCTAGCTTCTTTATATCTGTTTATTTCGTAATCGATCGTTAGATGGCATTGTTCTTATTTTGTTCACATCCTAGTGTACATATCAGAATGACATCATGCATATGACAGACAGCGTTTTCGAGATATTAAAGAAAATGTAAGTTTACATTTTAAGGCAAGAAAACGAGTTTATTTTTCTGAATAACTTGTTTCATGGCTTTTATTTAAAAAAACAGTTACAAGTATTATTTCAGAGTAGAATATCCTATTATCTCTGAGTTAGAATAGCAATTAGTGGGCTACCTATAATATATATAACAGAATATACCTAAATAAATCTGAATATCTACGAACATTGTTGTTTTCGCTCTATTGTAAAGTAGCCGCTTGTGCCGAGTAAATAAATACGGTCTATAAATACTTAAGTTTACAATCGAAACGTCCGTCGCTCGTTCGTTTATTGCTACATCGCAAACTGGGCTGCGCGTAATTTATATTACTACCTCGAAATACGTATTCGTGAGTGAACGCTTCAAAATTCGCTTCATTTAGAAGAAGGAAGGAAACAATCGGCTATAAATCTAGAGTCCAGAGTCCGAGTTCGCTGGGTTGTGAAGGAAAAAATATTTGACATTGACATTTGATTTGACAATATTGACATTACTTTCAAGATGGCGGTAAAGGTGCAATGCGGTGTTTCCGCGGAAACGCGGAGTGAAAAAATATGATTGAAATGTGGACAAAAACTTTTAAAAAATGATAGTAAGTCAATCGTAGTGCTTATTTAAAATACTTCCATCTTTTACAATCACTCTACACAGTTTTTTTTTTAAATTATTATTGTAATTCTTGTCGTAGTTTAAGCGTAATGTTTCGTAGACTTAATTTCTATTCAATATGTTTCGCATTCGGTCTCAGTGTTTTATTAATTCTTGCTGGAAGTCGATATACAGATAACATAAATTACCATTCGCCGCTTGAAAGCCGCAAGACAATCAGAAATTATTTAAGAATTGAAGATGGTGAAGACAATCTTGTGCAGCCACTACCAACAAATCCGTATGACGGTTCGCCCAATATAGATAAAATATTAGAAAAAACTCGTAACAGAATTAGGTCCGAATTGTCAAATTATAATTTTTCGAATTCTGGCGTTAATGGCTTAGAGGAGTTACTGATGGAATCTGGAGGAACACCAATAAGGAGTCTTATTGTGTCAACTTGGAGATCAGGTTCTACTTTCTTTGGTGAACTTTTGAACGCTATGCCAGGTACTTATTACCATTATGAGCCCTTTTTATGGTATGACATTATACAAATTAGAGGCCCGCCTTATTCATACAAAGCTTTAAAATATATGAAAAATTTGATGAATTGTGACCATGATGGTATGCCAGAAATTTTTGAATTTGGAAAAGGGCACTTGCATGCATTCAGCCATAATACGAGACTATGGGACCATTGTAAATATAACAAAGAATTATGTCTTGACCCTGATTTCACAACGAAGATGTGTAAGCTATTCCCATTTCAGAGCATGAAGGTTGTAAGAGTCCGATTAAGACTTATCGAAGAACTACTTGAAGATAAAGAGTGAGTGTATAAAAAATTTTCATTGTTGAGATTTCAATTAATAAGGGATATAATATTCTTGTCAAATAAATAGGTGATTTTGTGTACAAAAAAATTGCTTTTAATTTTGGTGGAGAGCTTTTGAAAAATGTATTAAATAGAATAAACATATTTTATTTTTATTATTTCAGGCTTAATTTAAAAGTAGTTCTGCTAGTTCGTGATCCTCGTGGTGTGATGCAATCAAGGCAACACCGTTCTTTCTGCCAGCCAGCCCCGGACTGCTGGTCACCAGAGCTAGTTTGTGCTGACATGATAAGTGATTATGTAGCTGCAAGTCGGTTTATGGAAAAGTATCCTGACAGGCTTATGTGAGTAAAATAAAAAAAAATCCATAGCAATATTAAAAGTTGCTTGCCAAATTATGACATTGAAAAATGTCTGTCTTATTAATATAAATTAATATGCTTCAAATAGAAGATACTTAATTATCCTAAATTAGGTCTATCTTAATTAGAATAGATAGAAAAATGCAAGTGTTTCTTTGTAATGTAATGACAAGTCAGGGGTGGATCCACACTTCAAAAGAGATTATGGTATAGCCGTTGTATAGCCATTCAAAAATATCAAGTGTAAATTAAAACATGAATTAAAATGTTTTTTAGTAAAATAAAAAATAAAAAAAGTAAAGTAAAGTAAGTAAGTCATAACTCTAATAGGGTTGTGATGGGCAGATGTACCAATTATAATTTAAATTATGGAGTAGTTACTTGAAGATGGTATCACCATGATGGATTTGAAGTTAATCTATATTATCATTGTTGAGCTAAATCTCCCATTGATGCATTTCAATAAGTACTGTTATTTGGCTCCATTTGAAGATATAATTAAATTGCTCTTACAATTTTTCAGGGCTTTAAGATATGAAGAATTGGCACTCGATCCTAATGGGACAGCACACAAAGTCTTGAAGTTCTTAAGATTGGGCATGACACAGTCTGTGGAAGAGTTTCTTCATACACATACCACTGTTGAAGTAGCAGGTGTCAGCTCTACTTTTAGAGTATCTAGTGCTGTACCTTTTAAATGGAAGACAACTCTGCTTTTTAACTATGTGGATGAAATTCAGGTATTAAAATATACTAAAATTTGTTTAGATTTATGCATGCTGAAAATACAAAAAAATTTGGCCTATACAATTGTAGGCCTTATAGATTTGGACATAAGGCACAAAAAATTAAAATAAACATTATTTTTACTTACAATTTGTTTAATTATATACAGTGTTTCATATATGTAACATTTTTATTATTTCAGTTACTGTAAGTATATAAGTAATTTTGTTATCTCGAGCTTCCCAGGCTTTAGAACGCATATTAAGCCGTTGGCCTAGACTGCATCTGATAGTCTTGTATGTTAACTTAATACTCACCAATTTGTACTGAGGCATTGTGGTGTATCATGGCCCATTCTCCCTATTCAATTCCATTCATAAAGAAATTCCTGTGTACCAGCAGTAAGGAAATCAATAAGCTGATAATGATGCTGATTGATGATAAGAGGCATAGACTAATTAATGGTGTTGGTTGGTTGGTTTTTCCTATAGGATTATAAATGAAAACATGTTTTAAGTTTGTATTATGATTTATTTCCAGACTGCTTGCAAGGAAGCTATGAGTTTGTGGGGTTACAAAATGGTTAACAATGCATCACAGATGACCAGCAAAGATTTTTATCCTCTGGAGCCTTATACCATTACGCAGTGACACAATTATCAGTACTCAGAAAATTATCGTGAGTGTTCTTTTTTTTTTACTTTTTTGATAATTCTGTTATCTGTCTACTCTGTGTCTACGAAGGATATTTCGAAAATTCTTTTAATTTTTTTTACAATATATTTCCTTAATATCTTGCGTCAGAGTCAGTATCAGGTCATACCACTGTTGCAACATAAATAAATGAAAAATGTGATTCTTTAGAGGTATGTTAGTTTTCCAAAATTAAAGCCTTCTGAACAGCAGATATGATTTTCTTTTACTGACACAAATGTTGAATATTTTGATTGCTTAGAGTGCCGAATTGAATTTATACTGTGCGCATTATTGTGTGTCGATATATTTATACAAATCCACCTACCTCTGTTTTCAAACGATTTCCAGTACTGCGTTAAATTTTTTAATTACCAAAATTAAAGGTGGGTAGGTGTTTATAAAACAGAAATAAACTAAGTCCATGTACTTTGAAAATGTTGCCTTGTAAGATCAAAGACAGGTCCATGTTATAAAAGAACATGGACCTGTCCTTTGATAAAAATAATATCAAATTTGGTCACTAGCGCCATCTGTTAACGATCGAAAATAATGAAAATGACTTAACCTTTACTTGTTATATATGAGATAAATCTTTATTATTTCTATTTGTTTCAGGTGATATTCAACATACTCAGTTTGATCTTCTAGCGTCGTAAATTTTATTGATATTTGTGCAAATAATGAGATCTCAACAGATAAGTATTACTCAGTTGTCAACGACTGTCTAAATTAAGTTAAATTTCATTGCTTTTAAAATCATATTTACGTGTTGTGTATATTGAATGGGCTGTGTGGGATTTAGTGAAGAAAATATTTGAATCTCTGTGAAGTATTAAAGTTATATATATAAAGATGGCGTCGAAATTTTTAATATTTGGTGAGGCGTTAGGTAGCGATCATGAACTGGCACACTAAAGCACGAATGAACTAGAATTGGATATATGTATCTATCATATTTTGTATTAGAAGTATGCCATCTTTATTATTGCATAGAAGAATAACAATCAGTTTTCCTTTGTGATAGCTTATACAACATTAGCAATGCAAAGTAGTTGTGGTCTATGCCTAATGGTATTATTTTAAATGTGTTTAGTGTTCATAATCTTCTTCAACTTTATCTGGAAAGGAAAATTTCGGGGGCTCATTGACAAATAGAATAAGCAATATATATTTCATGGCCTACTGATGATTTATTTTAATCAAATTCTACTTGAAGCATTTAATTACTTTAGTGTGTCATTTTATGTTCATTTTCGCTTTTACTGAAACAAACCTTAAGGTCCTTTTAAGTAATTGGCTACTTGACTGTTGGGAAAATATTTCAAACTTTCATATAATCTTATTAAACGACTCAGATTTATCTTTCTCCAAAAATTGTTATTACATGAAGAAAAACATATTTTTATTTATTTATTTAAATTATCCCGCGACTAAACATTTGTTACGTGACATTTGGAGCCGTGACGTAATATTTCAATAAACATGACAAAGACGTTGACGTTTAATTTATTGAAATGTGACGTCACACCATGCTCCGCCATGGCCCAAGTTTCGGTTCGTGTTATCCGCAAATTATAAATCGCAAGTTTATTTTGTAATAATAATTTATTAAATGTTAAATATAAACAAAAATATTAAATGGTTATTTTTATACACATTAACTATATTTTGTAATTTATTTAACTGAAAGTAGCCAATTAGGTCGCAATGTTTGAAGTATGTAACCCTATTCTTTTTTAACAATTGAATTCTCTGTTCTTAAAGACTGAATGTCATCCGAATCCCCTAATTCTTCCATACTCTGTATTATCTTTAATAATTATCATATTAATAAAAAGTTCGGCCGTTGGCTTGTACATATAAACGGAAAATGTTATAACTTCAATTTGAAACATTTTGTTTGATTAACTTTATAAGTAAGCCATCACATCATCTTCTCAATGCAGTCTGCATGTCAGCATAATAATTAAGATGAGCCAACGAGTCGATACTATCGAATGAACAAAGAGAATCGAGTTTTGCTAGTGAGCTCAGGTTGTGTAATATGTACACCACGGGTGTATCATTATATCAAAACGTAAAAGAAGGACCATTTATAACTTAGAGGTGAAAATCGTTTGACAACGAACATTACTATTGTACAAGTTAATAAACGTTTAACGGTGATTGTCAAACGATTTAGATCTTTATTAATATAACGCATTTTAATTGGTAAGCTTAGGCAATTTTTATATTTTAGCACTCACGGAATTGATGAATTGTTGATGCTTCCATTGTAGACACTCGATTATAGTTTAGTGGTGCATTATATCGGCGAGTCCTACTATACTAGACAATATAATATTATGTAGAGTTAGCAAAAAAGTACATTAATATTGTCAGATGTCGTATGGAGAAAGCGTTTTGCTACTGCCAAGTAGAATAGTATTGATAATAATTAGCGTTAAAAAACCTCATTCATTGAATAATCTTTTATTGCTAGCTGTACATGCACACGTATACGTAGGATCCGTGGATTATAGGTTAATAATATACATGAAATGTTGGCTTTTATTAGCAAAAATATTATGTCTATATATATACACTTAAATAATAATGTGCTCATTTTTTCGAACTGGACGTAAAGTTTTGGTATGAATTTAGATAAAAAAAATTGAACGGCCTAATATGACGATAATAGACATAACAGCTTCAGTAATAATTCAATGAAAACATAATTTAATTCATATTCATAATACATTGACTTAGATTCTATATTGGGAATTTCAAACTCTTAAGTGGGTTATATACTGTACTTACACATGACGGAGACCACGTTAGTTAAATATTTTAAAATAATAACAGTATACTTTTAATTAAGCTGTTGAATAAGTATGAACACCATATATTAAACACCAATTTATAAGATTACTTATTAATTTATTTTAGAAAAATTCTTAAAAAGTGCAGATTACCAGTTGATGTTTCACAAAATGTTAATAAGCGATGTAATGTCCGTCCAAGAAAGACCTAATAATCCATGTAATTCTAGAATTTCAGGACTTGTAAAAGTATATAACATTTGTTACCATAGAGTTAATATACTAGAGTAAGGAAGACATTATCTATGCTTGTCAAAGGAAATGTAACGCAGTTAAAAAGAGAGGGAAGATCGCGATAACCATTCAGTTTCTCTTTACTCGCGCATGTATGTTAAAAGACGGTTTTGGTATAATATAATCAAACCAAGTTCATATCATAAGTTACCCGTTCAAATTAATTAAATACAATAGGCAATATTGTGATCAGAAGGCCTACTCTTGAACGCAATCACAATGTCAATTTCAATCCAATCTTATAACGATCTCAATTTTCATCAAATCCTAGCTCGTACTCTTAAAACATAACCTCAATACTTACTCAATTTCATTTATTTCATTCAATAGCAGCGCAATGTTGAGCCATTTGGCGCTAGTGTACCAAATTGAGAGTATGAAACGTCACAATAGGGATGACGACTAAATGTTGTTTTTGTTTGTCTGTGACATGTATTTTTTATTGCGTAATCATTAAATTACATTGAGTAAAAAGGTCACGCTTTTCTATATTTTCTACAAAACTATGACGTAGCGAGGCCCCACTTCTCAACTTTAATGCTTCTTAAATTGAAGTAAAAAATACGTATCTAAAATTTTTCTATTACATATGTGACTGACGGACTAAATAGATTTTTTTTTTACCTATTTACTTATTGCAATGTTGAGAGCGATCGCGATCACGTTCAAGAGTAAGCTTGCGGATAGATGGTAATACTGCAGTATTCTATGTCTTTTTCGAGTAACGCCTCATAGTCTGCCTTAAGTACTCTAGTATAAAAACTAATTCTTTGTTATTCCATTTTACAAAATACTTCTTTGAAATGTACCTTATAAAATTAATTGCATTATAATAGCGTCGTCTTTCTTTGAAGAATAAATATATCGATGTTTTAACGTGGCGCCCACGTCGTACATTTAATTGTATATTTAAAAAATCAGATACATATGATAATGATAATTTACCAAGCCTTTGTAAGCAGATTGTATATGTCGCTAATTGGTATAATCGAAAACGAAAGTGAAAATCGAGGAAAATACTCATCTAGGAAAACAATATACTCTATTACTATTTATTAAATAAGTTTAGATATTATACAGTGACACCTTTTACTTAAAAATTAAGCGCAAAACCTATTGGCTTTATTACTGTATTAATTTTTTTCTTGGATTTCATGACCTAATCTCGATATTCAAAATAATATAATATGAGTTTGTTACTTATGATATTAATCAAATAATTATGTTTGTGCGTCTTCTTTCAATTGTATTTGTGTGTTTAAATGTTATACAGGAGCTAACTCAAAGCGTTATTCAATTAATATAAGAAGTTTCATATGTTAACAAATGGAACTATTTAAGTAGTGAGAATTCTTAAGTGCACTTCATTATAAGATAGACATAGGGGAATGTATCAAAATGGTGTAATATCAAATTTTAATGTGTTCTTCTCAGACGTAGACTAACGGAAACTTGGTGACTGAGCAAAATATATAAAACATACTATTTGCAACGTTGAAAGTGTTGATTTTCAATCGATAATATCATAATGTATTATTTAATTTAAATCAGTTTAATGTTGCGTTATCGTTGTACTGTTGGAAATAATATATTGGTCACTACTATTCTAGCCATGTTGTCTTCCACACAATATACTTTCCTTAGCGTGTGCGTTCGTATAACTTGTGAGAAGCGTACACGTCATGAGTAGTATTTTCGCTCGCACGTTCCGCCGTATCAGTGGATCTTTACTAGCGGGGATGTCATTACAACAAATTATTTTATTCCAAAAGTGTCTGTAATAATACTAAATCAAATCAATAAGATAAAAAAAATAATACGATTACTATTATTTAACTTTTTTTTTATATCAAATAATTATTTAAACAAAAAATGGAGGTTAGAAATAATATATTATGGCGGTTAAATTTAAAAGTTTGGATAAAACTTTTTTTTTTTGTAATAATTGATAAGATACACATAATAATATGAATAATGTAGAAACAGTGTATTCTATTTGTTTAACATGCTCAGTCATCTAGTAGTCGATAATCAATAGTACATTACCGTGGCATTTATTAATTGTGCTGCATTTAGTCAATTACAAAAAAATTACGCCTAAATTAATTTTCTATAACTCTCTAGTCTAAATTGGATTAACTAAAACCATTAATAATCCCTTTACATATTACTTTTACTGACATGAATGTGTCATAGAAATTGGTTCTTAAGACATTCATTCTAAAAACCATCATAATATTGTTTTGAGCAACATTATAAAAATAGCTCATTTTAAATAAAAAATTCTGATATAATTTTACTTTATAAGTAAAAAATGGGTATATACATTAAAATTTAATTCGAACCAATTATTAATGAATCATGCTGTAGATTTCTAACGAATAACTCTTGTCACTGTTATAATATGTTACAATATTTCTGTTATATTTATGAAAATAATAAATTGAACATAATTTCAATCTTCATCTTTCACAATAAATATATTGTCATCTCATTTGCTCTAAAATTTAATCATATAAATAATGACATTTTCAAAATACTACATAGATATAATGAAATAATAAGCTAAATATGTACCTCGGGAAATTTATATACACATTACAATAAATAATTTACATGATATATGAAATATATATATATGATAAAATTTGCAATAAAAATTAATACTTTTGTTTTTATTGTGTACTAGTAAAGCTGCATACATACGTGTATATTAGTATTAAGCCTAGTTCAGACTAATATCAATTTAAGATAGTGTGGACTAGTTAGGTAAAAAAATGATATTAAAATATGCCCAAAATACCAACACAATGTGACGTTATTGTTAAAAACTCGCCTGCCTTATCTTTGATTGGATATAGTCTTAATAATAATGACAGTGATGTAATCTCGACTTTAACAATAAAAAAATAAAGCTTACATACGAATGTCAATAAAAATCATCAATTACTAATTAAGAACCATGCTTCCTGATAGATCTGACAATATATTAATAAATTCAGTTATGCCTTAAATGAAATATTGGTAGTGATGTAGTTAAGGGTTATTATTAAATTGCATGTTAGTCATATTATACGATTGTATTATTTATTCTATTCTAAAGCTCTGGTGGCTGGCTGGAACCAGTTGTAGATTTTTTATCATATCATTAGCATATCATAAGATATTAGTGTTTATGCTTAAAATATCCTTTATTGTAACAAATATACAAAAGTTTAGTTGTATTTTTTAAATGTATTGTGTTGTAGCAAAATGTGTAGTATGATTTAAGATTTATTTTCGTATACTTTTTATTTAAGTGTGGGTGTTGGTAATAATGTTGTTGAGTTAATTAAATTTTTGATTAGTTATTATGTGTATTAACAATATATAGGTTTTGTTTTATAATCAATTGTATTTGTTGTTGTTATTCTTACAAGGAGTGTGAAGCGATAATATTTGTTGCAGGTTTTACGCAGCATGGTGACGAATTTAGTTTGGTAGTTTGAAAATTTAAACTCAATTTGTGAAGTAAGACGGGTCACTAAATTCAGAAACGATCTATTGAGTGGCCGTTTAAAGCGATCGATAGACGATCATGCAGCATGACATTGCTTACGTGCATGCATGCATGACCGTGTTGATTGATAAGAATTTGCATATCATTCGCATCAGTTAATACAATAAGGTCATGTAGCCCCTAGATGAGCATGCAGCATTACGTACTATCATGCCAAATTTTTTTCGTAATCAATAATTTACGGCGATACGACGAGTTCCAATGTCGTATGACGTCATACCTTGTACATTTTCGAGCGCGCTCCTTCACTTTAATGCTCATTAATCTATGATATTTCTTGTGATACTGACGCAAAAATAATGTATGTAATATTTTTCTATTGTCTAAATAGATTTTTTTTTTGAGTGAACTTAAACTCTTGTTTGGTATTAAGAGACCGGATAAACACAAACAGACAAAATTAATTGTTTACTATGCTGCGTGAAGCTGTGGATATTGGCCCATACTTAAAAATGAAATGGTAGATATAAGGGTAGCCTTACTAGATTAAGAGTTACGATCGAATGAATAAGGACGTTGAAGTTTTTCTCAGTAGACTAGCACAGCAGGCGTTATTATTGCAATCGTATTATCTTTTTTTTTATCGAGATTAATAAAGTTACAATAAACTGAACATGGTTTTTATTTATATCATTTTACCTATGTAGTGTTTTATGCAGTGTTTCTTACTTATACTAATAAATTCTGCCGAAATTATAAAAAGAATCGTCTCCGTCCCTGGTATAACCTGGGGTGCGACCGCCTAGCTCTCTAGCTATAAATCTAGCCATGGGATAAATCCTTCATGTTACGACCTTAATAAACGAATGATTTGGTAATACTGCTATCAATCCATTATCATCATTGTGCATCGTTCATTCGTAGTTACTAAAGAACATGTCAAAGCAGTAAAATTAAACGAAATGTCGCCGTTAAATCGATAACATGCCGTATCCTACGGCCAGAGTTAGGCGGTTACTCTGCTGGTATAACCCTAATCCTGAAACATATCTATCAAAAAGGAACCTTTTCGAAAACTTAGGAATTTAACGAAATTTTAGGAATTAGACTTCTCGATATGCCACTCTTATCGGAGGTTGGACAGTATCATGGCTATCTTTATTTTTCAGGCCGCTCGGAACCTGGATGTAGTGCTCCGCCCAAACCAATCCCTTAAATCCTTAAGTCAAGAATGTCGTCTTCTGCCAGCACTGCGTTTCCCCATAATTGTGTCTTGATTTATGAGATGAAGATTCAGTATATTCTTCATAATACTAAAATAAGAGAGCTTGCGGCATTTAATGGTGTTAATAAGCTTTTCTTTGGAATTAAACACTATCCTGTAATTATAAAATCGAGAACATTACTATTTTCGAGTACATAGTCGTAAATTAGTTAAAAATAAAATAATTTCTACGCCCGTACATAACGTATTGGCTTATAACAGATTCGAACTTTGGTAACTTTTTTCAATATAGCTCGCATTGCTGGTGCAAGTACCACTTCAATTCATTGTTATTTATGGTGGCCATAAAAACTCTCGCAAACTAAAACTTCCGAGTTAAAAAGAGATGAATACGCTACTTTAATTATCGTGCCGTATAACCTTCGATCGCAGATTGAAGACGTTCACGTCCCAAGTAGGCTGAAATTTGTTACGCGCCCTGTTAAGTTTTTAAAAGTTCGTTTAAATTCACCTACCTATCAAATCCTAGTTTATCTTTTGTAAATACCAAGATATATTACTATTCTAGTACTAAGTAGTGCCAATTTGCTGTTTAAAGTGGGGTTACAGGAGTGACTTTTAGAAGAAACAATGAGAAGACTGAATTTTTACTTAATATGTTATGCATTCGGTTTCTGTGGAATATTCATCCTTCTTAAGAGTCAATATACGAATGACATAAACTCTACTCTTTATAACAGTAAAATTGTAGATGGCGAAGATATTTATGTTAAGCCCCTACCTGCCAATTCAGATAATGAGCTTGAAACGGAGAAAATGGTAGAGAAAACGCGTGCTAAAATTAAGTTTGATTTGTCGAAATACAATTTCAACGATTCTGGTGTCAATAGCTTGGATGATTTACTGATGGAATCTGGAGGAATACCAATACGAAGTCTTATTGTGTCCACTTGGCGATCAGGTTCCACATTCTTTGGAGAACTTTTAGATGCCATGCCAGGTAATTATTACCATTACGAACCCTTCTTTTGGTACGGGATTAAACAAATCAGAGGTCCTCCTGACTCCATTAAAGCGTTACGGTATATGGAGAAACTAATGATGTGCAATTATGAAAGAATCAATGAGTATTTTGAATTTGGTAAGAAACACGAATTTCCTGTGAGCCATACTTCAAAATTATGGGACCATTGTAAACATAAGAAAGAGTTGTGTTATGAACCTGCTTTTGTGACAAAAGTGTGCAAAGTATATCCATTCCAAAGTATGAAAGTTGTACGTGTTAGACTAAAACTAATTAAGGAACTACTAGAAAATAAACAGTAAGTATTGTTTTGAAAATATGTTACACAAGACATGTTTGATTCTACCAAAAGAAATAAAATTAGGTACCCAATTAATATCATTTAGTTTCGTATGTTATCAGAGTTACTTTTTATAGTTTGCCGCAAAATTTATCACTTACCGTTTTTCCGCGACTTCGCCCGCTTAAATTATACGCCTATGTCATTCGTGTATGATTTAGCTATAAATTTAAAATTTTAAAAATCGGTACAGTTATTTCGGACCCTATTAAATGCAAACAAATCTTTCCTTTAGTATAGATATTTGTCATTATATTGAGATGGTAGGTTAAGTATGCAGTTAGAATTTCAAGATAAAAGTTCTGCTTGCGTCCAGTCTCAATTTGAAGGTGGTGCTGTTAGTCCGTGACCCTCGAGGTGTGATGCAGTCCAGGCAGCATAGATCGTTCTGCCAGTCCGCCCCGGACTGTTGGTGGCCGGAGTTGGTTTGCGCCGACATGGTTAGTGACTATGTTGCCGCCGGTAGGTTAATGGCAAAATATCCCAATCGAATTATGTAAGTGAAACTGAAACTTTTATATTATGTAATAGAGATTAGACAATTTATTTTTTATATTAATTTTAGTAATAATAACTAGTAGAATGCACTGATAAGAACAAAATAAATTCTCTGAAGAGATGATTATTGCTCAAATTGCGTTTAATTTTTTAATATGGAAAACATGAAAGAATTCTAGATTAAGAAAGTACACAAATAATTTCCTAGAAACAATGGGCCCCAAATATTGTAGTTTCATCTTTGAAATGAAAAATACACAAATGACTTCATAGTAAGTAAGTAATAGTTTAATCCTGATAAACTAGTGCGACACAAAAACTTCTTTAATGTAAAATATTTTTCTTATCTATATACATATACAAAAGGAGATGTCCTGACTAACTGGCTGACAGACAACGCACAGCTTAAACCGCTGGTCGTGGAGGCTTAAAATTTGGAGGATACATTAATACTTCTTTATTTTTAGACCTATATCGATAAAAAATGGCATTGGGTTAGTTTAAGACGTTATGCAGGTCATAAGTTATATTTTATCCCGAAATAAAGCACTTAAAGGGATGAAGATTAAAGTTTTTACGGGGAATGAAAATTATATCATAGCAACCATTTTCTACAATTTGATTTGTCATTGAAATGAATATTATTTCTAAATATCTCCTAATATTGTGATAAAAAATTGATATTTGAGCACATAATTGATAACAAAAATAACATTATAAATATATATATATTTGAAAATATTCAATTAATATTCGTTTTAGAAATGCTGCTTAAAGTAACTAAACCACGCGTACGCGGACAAAAGCTAGTTGTATAATATTAATAGAGAAATCAAAATTTGATTGAGACTCACAGACCTTTACTTGTAGGGCAAACTATAGGTGTGGATCATGTCCTTACTAGTAGTTCGAAAAACAAAAGCGTTGTGCATTTACGTATATAAAATTAAACACATATTTCTAAATTAGCTGAATTTTAAACTTTCCTTTTAAATTAAGGTATACAAACTATATTTCCAGACCATCGAAAAGTCTGCAGTTTCTATCTAACGTATGATTTTTAATTTATAGCAAATTATGTTTCTTTTTCACTTTGCAGGACCCTCAGATACGAAGAGTTGGCACTTAATCCTAATAGTACTGCTTACGAAGTTATAAAATTCTTGAGACTTAGTGTAACGCCATCTATCAAGGAGTTTTTGTATACACACACTAATGTCAATGTGGCTGGTTTCGATTCCACATTCAGGATCTCCCGCGATGTCCCATTCAAATGGAAGACGAGTCTATACTTTGATTATGTCGATGAAATACAGGTAACTTTTGATTCGTTACAAGTTCCTTTAATTTTAGTTATATTTGCTTCTTTATATCATGATAAAGTAAACTTAAAATTCAAACAAACAAAGTAAACAAAAAGTTGATTTTTTTTAGTTTTATTATACTAGATATATTACCTATAGTCAACGGCATTAAAAGCTACACAAACATGTCTTTCAGTTGATTTTAAACCTTATATACATTGCAGGTAGAGTTCATAATTAAGGAAATTTGACATATTGTGGTAGAATCGTAGTCGTGTGTTTCTTAGTCAATATTATGTAGTTGAAATAATATGATTAACTTCGAAAATGAACCAATCACATCAAGTTTATTTGAACAGTTTTAGTATTGCGTTATTTTTTTTAGAATTGCAACCACAAAGCGTTCAGTCTTAATTATTATTTAATAATATCTTATAGACGGAAGATTTGATTGTTTGTTTGTTTGCATTGAAAAGACTCCGAATCTACCTGATCAAAATTTTTTCACCTACGTGAAACTACATTATACGCCATAATAAACACCCCATTTTTTTCAACTATTCAGGCAAGATGAAGTGAGACCTTTTTATGTAACAAATTAAACGAAAAAACAAATGAGATTAGTTTCCGACCTTTTCTTATTGTTTTTTATAATGTGGACAATGACGGAAGAGGTTTTTTCTAAGAACTAAAAAACAACAGGTAAAGTAAACCGGCACGTTAACCTTTATAGGTCAGTTGTAAATAATCTTTGTGAAGGCATTTTGATGTAACAAACAACATCCTACAATATCCATAGGGGAGTATTCGATCGCAATAATATTTATTACACGTATTAGAGTCATCATCCAATAGAATGATATAAAAAAAATATAGTAGTAGAGTAGCTCGGTGGCGTAGTGGATCAGGGCCGCGGCCCGCGATCGTTGTTGTTAAGCAACTTTCGCAAAGGTAGGTTACGGGGTGGGTGATCAAAGAATTATTATCTCGAACTACTGCTTCGCGACGCACGTTAAGCCGCTGGTCCCGGCTGTAGTTGCAGTCGTTAATCCCCACTATTCTGCATTGGGACAGCGTGTAGCATCACGGCCCATCCTCCTTGACCATCCATAGGGAGGCCCGAGCCCCTGCAGCGAGGACATAAAAATGGCTGATGATGATGATGATGAGAAAAATATAGGTATATTGAGTGGCAAAAAGAACCTGGTATTCTTTTCTTGTTCTCTATTAAAGGCACATTTTTATCAAGAGTTTTTTCATTTGATAAAAGAACATATATTTTTTCCTTATTTGTACTTGAAATATATAAATCTTTTGTTAATTAACAGTGTTTCAATTTTCAGACTGCCTGCAGAGAAGCAATGAGTCTATGGGGTTATAAATTAGTGTACAACGCATCCCAGATGACTAGTAAGGATTTTTACCCTATGGAGCCGTACACGATTTCTCAAAGACTCTGAAGAAGTAGCTGAGATAAACATTTAGAACATACGCAATATATTTCATGGAAATCATATTATTATTTTTTTACTACTAAATACATAAAAGTATGGCTAGTTGCATAAATGTCCATTAAAATTGTCACTGAAATTGTTTTATCTTAAAATAGTCTCAGGTTCCTGCTGGTCCCCTTGTTACATGCGTAGCAGGACAAACTCGAGAACGTTTTGTCACTTTTCTCCGTTGCGCCCATACGATATCTCACATGATTGGTGTAGACAAAGCGATTCTCGAGTTCGTCATGTTGCGCGTGTCGATCCGACGGGTGTTTTTCCAAAGAAGCCACCAGGCTACCAAGTTACTACTTTTGTAAACTACCAAGTTTACCTGAGACTGAGACATGCGTGAGAGTATTTTCGTGAATCTTTAGAATAATGAATGAACCAAATACGTAGCTCGGTGGCGTAGTTAAAAAACGCCTTTCGCAAAGGCAGTCTCTGGATAAGTAACAAAAAAAATATTATCTCGAGCTACCCTGTACTTCGGAAGGCAAGCTGTTGGTCCCGGCAGCATTTGCTGTCGTTAATGGGCGAGCTTGGAGGGTCATGGCCCATCCTCCTTAAGCATCTATAAGGAAGGCCCGAGCCCCTGCAGTAAAAAGACTGATGATGATAATGAACTAAATACGTCATTAAATATTTAATGAATCTTAACAAAGAGGGTAAACACGCCTACAATAAAGACGCACACAGCTATAGTCAACATAGAGACGTTGAAGATATCTTGCATGACGCTATGATTTCGATCTGCACCATTTACTAGTATTTCCGCGTACGTGAAATGCCGGTGTCCAAACAGCGAATCTGTAAAACACAATTACTTCAATAAGACCTCAAAGCTAGGGTGATTATTGTCTAGTTTTCCGATAGCGGGGTTTTCCTGGTTTAGCAACATTTTTCATTGCTACTCTACTCGTAACTCCTATTAGTCATAGCGTGATTTTATATATCCTATAACCTTCCTCAATTAATGGTCTATTCAACACAAAAAAAATATTTGAACCATTAGTTCCTGAGATAAGTGCGTTCAACCAATCAAATAAATAAACTTTTCAACGTTACAATATTATAGTATAGATTTATATTTTTGAAAGATTTCAAAAAAGGAGGAGGTTTCTCAATTCGATCGTACATGTTTTATTTATGTTTGTTCGTGGATGAATCGACCTTTGCGGAAGAAACTGCTATTGAAGTCGAGCGGAGGTTTTCTGTAGATTAATAAATGATAACCGCCCGACTTCAATAGCAGTTTTTTTGAATATTGAAGTCGCTTTTCAGATAAGTATTATTTCTTACTTTTTAAACTTCTATGTCCGTTTTATATTAAAAAAAAAATAATATACTTAAAAGACGATCAAATCTTAGTCTAGTAAGACGGAACCTGTAAATGATTCTAAACGTCTGAAAACTGAAATATTATTAAAAAAATACACGGGTTAAGTTTTATTTATTTTAAGTAAGCCATAAATTTACTTTTGTCAATATTTCCACTAAAACATTATTGGTGATATTGAAAATATAATCAATACTTTTGTGAAAAAAAAATGAATAATATGGTCCATAATTCTATGCAGCTTCGGTTTTAGGATTTTTTAAAGTTTTAGAGGAAAATTGTTTTTTTTTCCAAAATAACACTAAAAGTATTTTGTTTTAAGGAAAATCTTGCTACTATTTTTACGTTCAATGACTGAACTATATATATTTGGTATAAATAAGTATTTAAGGTAAGTATATAAAAATTATAAAATTTTCCGTAACACTTTTAATTAATAAAATCAAAGTCTTAATCAAAATTAGAAGGAATTCTACCTAATCTGAATAGATTTGTGAGTAAGCACAGAACTCAACCAACAAAAAAAAACGACTTTTTTTATCCATAATTTATTTTGCGTCTGTTATTATGAAAAGCTATTTTCAAAAAGTATTTTGCTAAGATAATTATTCACTCTCTATCTAGGTTGTCTTTTTTAAAATTAAATTTTGAGAAAATTTATTAAACGTGCCGTTAAAAATAATTAATTTAGTAAAGTTTATTTTTGGTATAACAAGATGAAAACTTCTGTATTTTAATAGTTATTCCTTTACTATTCAATCAAAATAAATAAATTTTAACTTTATGCAAACTTACCTGGATTAAATAGAAAAGCTGTCGCTGCTAATACAAAATATAAATTTTCCATTGTTAAGTTGATGAAGGGCAAATACATCTGCCGAAGCTCTAAATGCCAATGATACAATTATTAAGCTTATACATTCCCGTATCTAAAAATCAATTTATATCTGTGAGATAAAGTCATAATTATGAATGGCATATAGTCGTAGATAACAGATTCTGGATAAAATTTTAATTAGATTGAATTCATTTTAATAACATTAAAATTGTCAGTCTTATGATATCTCAACGACTAGGAAAAATGTCTTATCCGTGAAAAGAAACACGAACCACGAGGGAGCTTGAGATAGTAAATTTTTGGTCTGGGTGACCAACCACGAATGGCCTTTGCAAAAATTGGTTAACCTCTGCAATCGCAGATCAAAACTCTGCACCACTGAGCTGAGCTTTAAATGGATTTAAATATCATTGCCTATTGATTTCCACATTGATGGCACACTCTATGGCTGGAATCGAACATGGAGAATGAGCCATGATCCACCAAGCGGGTCCAATTCGGATTGGTGGGTGTCAACGACTGCAGATGCAAGCGGGACTAACGGCTTGATATATCTTCCAACACACGGAGGAGCTCGAAATAATAAATTGTTCGTTAATTTTATAAAAAAAAAAAAACTATTTATACTAACTAATACATTTTTGACCCAGAAGGGTCCTCTTACACTGGAAGTGGTTGTCTGGCATCTACACCCGGGTTCCCGGCTACCACTCACAGACGAGCGGCTGCGCGGTAACTACACTCAGGTTTGCTAGTACCACTTACACCAGAGGGCACGCCCTGTAATTTTAGTCCCGCACCTTTTCATGGGCCTGTTAAGTGTACACGGAGGAGATTTTAGTTAGCGAGAGTCCCACACACCTTTGCGGTCAACCAGGCCGGACTTCCCTTCTCTAAACCAGCTCCGTGAAGCCTTTTTTTAATTTTTACACTTTTTTGGATTGGAGTTGGATTTTATATTTTATATCATATTCGTCCATTTTTGTGAAGTTCGTTCTATTTTTGACAGTATTCTAATATGATTTTTGCGCCTCCCTGACAATGGCGCCCGGGGTCCCCTCGCTCTAGATACAGCCCTGGTCTACCCTTCAGGGGACATTTCCCTAGATCAAATTAAGGTACCTCACCTCGTTTATATAGTTATATGTACGTTTATAATAATTTTTCTAGCTCTTGATGCATATCATCGAAAGAACGGTATTGTGTTTGATTTGCCAATATAATAAATTGTATCAGTTTCTGTGAACTGTATGGTTCCGGAAATATTACACCTGCAAATTATTTGTGTTTTACTACACATTTTATAAACAGAAATTTAAAAACATAAGCTTTTACCTATTGGATTTAAAAATACTATTATTATAGATACATAATAAATTTCCAACTGATGAATAGTCACAGGAGTTACAACATATATTATTTTTAATTGTTTCATCAAAAATTCATACCGACTGCCCACAGAAACAATATAATCGTAGTTACAATGGTAACAACTGTTCCCAAAATGTTAATTGTCAACAGTACCCGAGTTCTCTTGGAATAACCGACTACATTGCTGCAACAAAACATATAAGTGGACATAACAATTAATAATACATAAAATATACCTATATTTCAAACCTAAGAGCGTTTATATCCACATTTTTCACATAAGAAAGAGAGAATAAAAAAGAAAAGTAATTTATTGAGTACATACACACATAGGTATTTTTTTTTCAATAGACAATATTGAATGTGGTATCTAAAAGGAGCCAACTCTAAAATAAAACTATATAAGATGTAATATTATTATGTGCCAGGCTTCGGGGGATGGTTGTGTTAATTATATTGAACAACTTTTACTATGGGTGCAATACTGAATTCACGAAAAAATAATTGGCCGTTTCATACTGTTAGCAATCGCTAAGCTGTTGAAATGAAACAGCTGATAATTTTTTCTTGATTTCAGTTTCGCTCTCCTAGTAGTCGCTCTATTTTATTCTAAATTTGTGTTCGCAGAATTTGAAATAAAAATTATTCAATATAAAACAGTTCATCCAATTTATTCCATTCCTTTGATGCCTAATATTTTTTTACTGGTTGTTACAACCAGAGGTGGCATAATGCCTGGCGATATATGCCACTTCCTATTTTTCTTTTTTTTTTCGAGGCTGTGTCAAATAAATCATTGGCCTAATTGTCTAATTTCAAAATCTATCACAATCACTTTGAATTTGCCATTTGAAAGCTATTCATGAACTTCACGCCAGAACTATTTGATATGTAATAGCAATTACAATCGTGAGGTTTTTTTAAAGATATTAAATAAACAATAACGTTAATTTGACGTTAATCGTAACAGTGTAAACAAAGTGATTATTACACATATCTTTGAATTGAAAGCTATTGGCAAATGTCAAGCGAAATGAGTTATCTATGAGTTCAAAACATGATTCGTTCCGAAAGCTGTTGTGACTTTAAAAGTTACACGATGGCATAAATAATGCGATAGATTTTAAAATTTGATAATTATGCCCCAGGATACTCCAGTCACTATACTCAAAAACCCTCAGGGGTCATCCATAAATTTCGTCACACTTTAGGGGGGGGGGGGGGGGGTCAACGAACTGTGACATTAGAACAATATTTAGTAGAATTTATATAGATAAATAGGTGACAGGAGGGGGGGGGGGGGGGGTTAAAATCTGAATTTTGTGTGACGTAATTTATGGATGGCCCCTCAGCAGAGTACGCCCGTGTAGAAGTGTATTCGGGATTTAGCACGAAAGCTGTTAAACTCAATACTAACCATCCCATGATCTCATGGGCTTTTTAAAATCCAGACACATAATAATCATGAATCAAAGTTAGGTAATTGTGTAACACCTACCAATACTGACACTGTTAACATTTGTAGCTACATATTTGCTAGGGTTTTCCAATTAGGTATTATGAAAGACTTATGATGCATTCATATTTAGATTCAGATTGTTTT